GGCTAGGAGTTAGGATGGCCTTTGCCTCCTTCGAAGGGCCCATGGATCCAGACTGCAAGCCATAGCTTATCAGTCAGAAGGGCTGGGACTATTTGTCTTTGTCATCCTGAGCTTTTGTAAAGTGTCATCTGAGCACTCTAGCCACAGCTCAGCTGTTCTGGGCCCCCAATAAAGGGCCCATTTCCAGTACTGAAAGGGAGAGGGAGAGCAAGTTAGAGCAAGGCTAGGGAGTCTCTGGGCCTGAGCCTCCTTACAGTCTGAAGAAGAGGTGGCCCTGCACCCCACCCCACTCTCCCTGGCTTGACTCCAGCCTACACTTTCATAGGCAACAAGCAAGACCACAAAGCCTAGCTGACCCCAGAATCAGAAGCTTCAGGTCACCATGGCCTTGACCTGGTCTCAGTTTAGATGCCTTGGTACAGTGCTGGTCATTCAGCACGCCCTCCATAAATAGTTCTCGAATGAATGGGAGAATAGTAAGTGCTGGCATTCATGCAACAAACATGGAGCTCCTGATCACTGTGGGACCCCCTTCAGCTGAGGGTTCAAGACCAGTCTGAAATAACCCCCATCCATCCTGCTCTCCTTCCCGGATGATGAGGGAACCATACCTCTCCAGGCAACCTCTGCCTTTTGGAAATCTTATAGATGAGCCACAGGGGCAGGGGCAGTGCACTGGATTGGGGACCTGGGTTTCAGAATGAAGCTGGACTGGGGAAAGCCAGTGGGAGTTTAGGGCTCTGCTGCCCCCCGCTGGACCAATCAGGAAGCACGCTCTACTTTGCAGGAGGCACAGAGCATCCACACTCTCCCCTTTCTCCTCCCTGAAGCCAGGATCCCTATGTTCGGCGTTCCCAGCCTCACAAATAGGTTCTGCATCCCCCAGGTATCCAAGATCTCCCACCCAGAACATCCCACCCATTTCTGAAAGTCCTTTGCCAACAAGAATTGTCCTGGGAACATTGGGTCAATTTCTGACCAGTAAGACCACTTAGATATTAGTGAGGGAAATGGGCTCCGGAGGAGGGGTCTTTTAGAGACTCCTATGAACATAGCAGGAAAAGTAAATGTAAGGATTGACAAAACCAAAGGAAATAGAAAATGATAGAAACTTAATTGTAACAACATTTGATACATCAAGCCAAAGATTGGTTATTTGCAAAAACTAATAAAATCTGATAATCCAATAGAAAATTCACTTACATATATAGATACAGATATAGTGAGAGAGCTATAACAAGAAACCCATAGGCCGTGTTTTGGGCCAATTCACTGGTGGTGGGAGGTAGATGACTCATGCTGGAGGGCAGTAGATGACACATGCTGGAGGGCAAAGGAGGGTGGGCTGGGAAAGGGCATAAACAAATGTTGATTTCCTTCTGTGGACTCTACTTGGCTTTGTGGGTGGCATGAGTGCTGCTATGTTCTGGGCCTGTGCACACTCACAGCAGTTGGACAGTGGAAGGTGGCTAAGGTGTTTGCTGACTGGCTCATGGGCTGGCTGAACCAACTCTAGGGGTAGGTGATCCCAGGTGGGGAAAAAATCTATGACTATTTACCAGGCTGGGGCCCTTCCGGAGGGAACCAGGACTGGGACAGAGCCTGTGCCAGTGTTAAGCTGTATAATTAGGCAGCATGATAAACCACGTGCCAGTTATGGGCCCAGGAAACTTACAATGTCCCTTGCCTGGAATTTCCCCAACTCCTACTCAGGCTTCATGACTGAGTAAAGGTCTCCTCGACTGGGAAGCTTTCCCTAGCTAACTTCCTTCCCCCTCGCTGAGCGAGAGTGGGTGCCATCCTGCCCTTGGGGCATTCTTTTATGAAAGCACTTATCCTACTGCATTTAAAAATTTTTCTTTTCTTTTTTTAAAAATATTTTTTATTGACTTCAGAGAGGAAGGAAGAGAGAGCTAGAAACATCCATGATGAGAGAGAATCATAGATCGGCTGCCTCCTGCAAGTCCTCCACTGGGGATCGAGCCCACAATCCGGGCATGTGCCCTTGACTGGAATCGAACCTGGGACCCTTCAGTTCATAGGCCGATGCTCTATCCACTGAGCCAAACCAGCTAGGGCTAAATTTTTCTTTTCTTTTAAATTTTCATCATGGCAAATTTCTAACATAAACAAAAGCAGCATAATAGGATAATATAGCCCATGTACCCATCACCCAGTTTCAACAATTACCAACTCATGAACAATTCTGTTTCTTCTATATCACCTCCACTATCCCCCCTACTTTGGATTATTTTGAAGCAAATCCCAGACTTCCTATCATTTTATCAGTGAATACTTCATTATGTTTCTCTGAAAGATGAGTCCTATAAAAAAAAAAAAAGAAAAGAAAGCATAACCATAACACCATGATCACCACTAAAAAAATTTCACAATTCTTCCTTAGTGTCATCAAATATCCAATGTTTATATCTCTCTGATCATCCCACTATGTTTTGATGGTTTTCTTGACTGTCTCTCCCATGGGCCTGATCAGGGACCCGGCTGCCTGTGTGCGTGCCTCAGTCCTTGTCTATCACTGTTCATGGGGCTGAGAGACCTGTGTGCACACACCCAGCTGAAGACAGTCACTGCTCCGTAGGTGAGTAAAGACCCTGAGTGCCTGAGTGGGAGGAGGCCTCGCCCTAGAATATGAAGAACTGTCCTTAGCACGTGTGCTGACCAGGCTCATCTCAACTCAGCCGGGCACCTTTCTAAAATATACACGCAGTCCCTGCTCCCCACCACTGTCTTTTCGGCCAGAATCTCCAAGGATGGGGCCAGTGCACAAGAATTTGGGGAACATGCCCCAGGTATATGTATATTTGATGTGTTGCCCTTTCTAACACCTATTGGCCCTCACCAGAATGTCGTCACACATGGGCACCAGATACCTTCACTCTGCACCACTCTGAGAAGAGAAAGCCCTTGGGTGGGCCACCAGGCCCAGCAGCCTCTTGCAGAGAAAGCTCAATGTCCAAGGAGGCCTTGACACCAGGTTGGCTTTGTGACAGAGTCACCAAAATAGCCAGCGGAGAAACAGGGACCGGACCTTTGCTGGATTATTCGGGGACCACCTCCTCAGAGAGGCTTTCCCGGGAGTCCTCAGCCTCCTCCCCGACCCCCAGCAGCAGTGGGACCCTCTGAGCTCCTAGGACTGTTACCCTGAGCCAAACACAAGTAAGTCCAATGCCAACCTGATCCTAGACCAGACATCAGTGGAAGAAACTGCCACAGGGCCACCCTCTGTGGAGCTGCTCTTCCCCATGCAGCCCATACCCCAACACCAATTGTTGGTGTTGGCACCAGGCCAAGGGGCCCCAGAAGACAACCTATGATTTCCACCCGCTGCTGAGGGAACTTCCTCAGGCCTTTGCCTGGTCAGAACAGCCTGTGTGACCCTGGGCCACAAACAGCCCCTTCCTCCTCCCGCTGCCTTGGGCCAGCCCACTTTGTACACTGAGGCCTTGAAGCAGATTCAGATTGCATCCCTCTCCCTGACGGGCAAGTGTGTGAGGGGCGGCAGGGGTCCTGTGTGTCCCACCATCTCCACAAAAGGGCAGTCCTCACCACAGCCTCGTGCTGCTGAGCCCAGACGTGGGCAGAGCCTAACCATGTAGGGAGGAAGGGAGCAACCATTAGCGCTAATGAGGCAGGCGGCTTGAAAGCTTTTTACTTTGAAGCTGCTCGCCCACCCAGGGAACAGACCGTTCTGCTTCCTTGGCTTCCAGGAACCCCAGGCAGAAAGGGGTTTGGGGACAGGAGAAGGGGTGGGGGTCTTGAAAAGGCCTGGAGGGAGAAGAAGGAGAGAGGAAGAGCTAGGGATGGAAGCAGGAGGGGCTGGTGTTGGCTAGGTGGGTTTCTCTCTTCCATTCCCCCCCCCCCCAAAAAAAACCCCAGGTCTCTAGGTCTGCACCCACCTCTGCCTCACTCTGGCCACTGGCCCATCACCCCCTTCAATGCCCTTGACCCAAGTTCCTGGAAGCAAAGCAAACAACATGCCCTACAACATGTCTGATTGAGCATCTCCGGGCCCACAAATTAAATTAAGCTCTCAGGGCTGCCTGCCTTGTTACTGCTAATGGCTCCAGCCTGCCCCCAACGGGTCCCTGTCCTGTCAAAATTTGGGGGCCCTGGGCACCCTATCTTGTTCCCAAACTTTAATTGGCTCCGGGAGACCTCACACACAATTGGAGGTGGTCACCCTCTTATAGAGCACCCAGAAACTCAGGTTTCAGGGAGAGAGGCTTAAACTGTACGTCCCCTCTTCTGGGGAAGGCCCCTCATATCCTGGCTTCAGGGAATAGTCACGTGTGGGCCCTTCATTAGACTCTGCTATATAAGCGGAGGGTACAAGGTGGCCAGGAATGCTCGGGGCAAGGATCCAGCAAGCAGAAGTAAGTCTCTGGTTGGGCAGAGATTCCTGTTCTCTGGGGCTTCTCTTGGGGGTAGGGTACCTAGAGGGTGCATCCAGGGATGAGGAGGGACTAAGTGTTGGGTCTTCCTGCCGAGCCAGGCCATGCTGACTGCAATACTGAGCTGTGCCCTGCTGCTGGCACTGCCTGCCATGGAGGGGGCCCAGATGAGCTTGGCACCCCTGGAGGGCATCAGAAGGCCTGACGAGGCCCTGTTCTCAGAGCTGTCAGGTCAGTGTGGGCAGGGGTGGGTCTGGGTGGGGCCTGGATACCCTCTGGCCACAAACTATTCAGCCTGGTAGGAGCCCTCCTTCTCTCCTCCCAATCCCAGGCCTGGGAAGTGGGCGTTCTATGCATGGCAGGGGGTGGGGGGATTTTGCTCTCACATCATCCATCACAGATCTGGGCCTGAGGCGTGAGCTGAAGAGGAAAGCTGTAGAACAGGCAGAAGAGGCTCTGCTGCAGGAGGCCAAGGACTTGGCAGAGGTAACTGACTGTTCAGGGCAAGGGGTGAGGCTACAGGCCTTGGGAGGGCACATCGGGCATGGTTCCCACTCTCCATTACCTGACACTCCCCGCCCCCCTTACCTGGAGCAACCTTGCAGACCCCCATGCTCCACTGCCATCCCACTTGCATGGGGCAGGTGAGGTCCCTGGACTTGCCTTCAGAGGCTCATGCTCTCGCATCCCTGCAGGCGCTAGATCCGGAAGAACGGGAGCCACGCTCCCTGCGTCGCTGCGTGAGGCTGCACGAGTCCTGTCTGGGACACCAAGTACCGTGCTGTGACCCATGTGCCACGTGCTACTGCCGGTTCTTCAATGCCTTCTGCTACTGCCGCAAGCTGGGTACTGCCATGAACCCCTGCAGCCGCACCTAACTGGTCAACGTCAGGGTCGGGGCTGTGACGGGGTGGGGGTGGGGGCGTGAATAAAGCTTGGGACCAACCCCAAGGCTGTGACATTATTTCGAACGTGGCCTTTGGAGGGGGTAGGTCATGGCAGGCCGCCAAGTCTAGAAACCTCATACCTACCCCAGGGCCTGTGTTACCCCATCATCTGAGTTACTTATACGCACACTCTTAGGGCACCAGGCGCCGTTGGGGAAGCAGAGGAGAGCCGCTCTTCAGCCCTCGAGAATCTTAGGGGAAGAGGGGCAGGGGGCATGGCGCGGGAGAGGGGCTGTGACTTCTGGCGAACAAGCATTAGGTTCCAGGACCTGCTCGCAGCTAACTCGATGTGTGACCCCCAGCGAAGGCCGCCCTTGCCATACCTGTTCCCCTCGGGGGAAGGCGGACTCCACAGTCTGGAATATTTCCAAGCATAAATAGCTCTCATCTTCACTCCGCACGCCCTCATAGCGCCAGATACACCAGACCCGGGAAAGCTCGGGGACCCGATTCAATTTCCACGGCACGGGCACCACCGCGCGGCCGGTCTTAGACACTCCAAGCGGCTCAGCCGGGAGCCAGAGGCGCTCTTTCCCTCTGCGCGCAGGCGCCAGGGGGCCGTCCCAGCCCGCACCTGCGCAATACGTCCACTAGAAGCCACCCGGAAGAAGGGCACCATTCAGAACCCCGCCTCGCGGTGGTCACGTGACCCTCTTTGCGTGTCACCTGATGCGCCTGACAGTACGCTGCGGGCGCCGAGTCAGCTGATCTTGGAGTTGCGCTGCTTGCCTGCGGGTCGGGCTTCTCCGGTCCCTCCGCAGCCATGTCGTACTTCCCGGAGCTATACTTCAATGTGGACAATGGCTACTTGGAGGGACTGGTGCGCGGCCTGAAGGCCGGGGTGCTCAGCCAGGCGGACTACCTCAACCTGGTGCAGTGCGAGACGCTCGAGGGTGAGCCGCGGCGGGCTGGGGTGCCCGGCCTTGAAAGGCCGGCGAGGAGGCTAGCGAGGGCCTGAGGGTTCCGAGTTCTGTGCGGGGAAGCCGATGGCGGGGGTTCTAGAAGCGCCTGAGAGGCTTCGATCGGAATCGGGGGCTGATGGCGGGGTCGCTGGAAGGGGATCTACCTCCAGCTGCGGCTCGGCTCAGGCCGAAACGCAAACAAAGCTTTAAAACCTCAGTGGTTCGCCTCTGCTGGGGCCGTCTCTTCCCCGGTTACGGCCCCCATGTAGTTTGGAAGCGAGGGTCTCTAGGGAGTGAGTGGTTGGTCGGTGGGAGATGTGCCCATACCAGTCTCGTTACCCTGACGTAGCCAGAGTGAGCTGTCCCGTGGCAACGGAAAAGCCCCCCACTTCCCTCGTAACACGTACACCAGGGCTTTTGGGATCATTGTGTCTTCTCCTGGTCCGAGGGGTGAACCTTGCTGGGGAATTGCTGAGCCTGCATAGAGTTTCCCCCCATCGCGGAACCACTGGCTGAACAGTCTTCTGAAGGCAGTGTTTGAGAGAGCAAGGTGTGGCCCTGCAAATCAGGGAAGTCCATACACATGGATTTGGCCAATAAATCCAAAAACCTCAGCGAAAAGGATCCTTGTTGAGATAGGGTTTTCCTAGCACAAAAATTGTGAGAGAGGCCGAGTTCCCTTTTCCTTTCAGCCCACGCAGCTTCAACGTGGGATGGACCCCCGAGGCACAGTTGCATCAAATTTACTGAATGAGAGATGCCCCTGATTCCAGTCTTTGCCTCCTCTCCCTCCTCCCAGGTGGTAGTGAAGGACACAGTGGCTGGGATGTGATCCCCATCCCAGACCCCCAAGTTTACTGTTGAGCTAGTCTCATGGTAGCTAGAAGTGGAAGATGACCAGATGATTCACCCTTTGAGAAAAATTTCAAATAAAAAATGTATTGAGGTTAAAAGTGAGCTCAATGAAAAACCCCAGTTTTTGTTTGTCTTGCAATAATGCAAAAACATACCTTTAATTTTTACAACTTCCTGAAGTTAAAATACACTTGTGGACTTTGTGGTTTTAGCATAAGTGTACAAAAAAAGGTTGTTCACCTCCCTTATGGGAGTGGAAGTGAGGAAGGAGAGGAGAGCATTTAGGGTGCTGGGTTGTAGGAGCCTACCAGCAACCTAATTCTCCTCACTGTTGGAAAAGGAGAAAGAGAGGGGCTCTCTCTGGGGCAGGGTCTGACACACAGCTGATACTTAATGTGAGTTTTGTGGACTGACTGGCACTGGAGGAAGATCTTTGCTTAGATCTGAAGGTGAACTCCATTGATTACTAATTGACATTTGGGAAACTTGTTTCTCTCAAGGCTTTCCTCATTCTTGCTGCTGACTCCTCCTTAACCCTACCCATCCCCCAGCTTCTGAGGCCACAGGGTTCCCATCTTCCCAGCAAGACCCTACGCCAGTGATGGCGAACCTATGACACGCGTGTCAGAGGTGACACGCGAACTCGTTTTTTTGGTTGATTTTTCTTTGTTAAATGGCATTTAAATATATAAAATAAATATAAAAATATAAATCTTTGTTTTACTATGGTTGCAAATATCAAAAAATTTCTATTTGTGACACGGCACCAGAGTTAAGTTAGGGTTTTTCAAAATGCTGACACGCCGAGCTCAAAAGGTTCGCTCGCCATCACTGCCCTACGCCATCCTCCACAAACATATTAGGCCATTCTTCCTATAATAGTGCTTGGGACAGAACCCCCTTGTGGACCACAGTACAGACTTTTAGCATGACTTTCAGGGATTCCCTTGCTCTTTCACACATGTTACTTACCTTCTCACAAGCCATGCCCCTGGAACTCTTGGTGCACATAGTGTGGTGGACTTCGGAGTTAGACAAATCTGAGTTTGAATCCCAGCTCTGCCGATGACTGGATTACCTAGGACAAGTTATTTAACCCCTCTGGACCTCGGGTTCTTCATCTAATATATTAACAGTACCTATCTCAGAAGGTTGTGAAATGACAACAAACTATTATGTGTGCAATACTTCACCCAGCACCAAGCACAGAGTAAGTGCTGGCTAAATGGGAGTTCTTGTTTTCAGTACAGTTTGCACTTGCCATCCCTCTGCATCCTTTTTTTTTTAAAAACAAAAATATATTTCCATAGACTTTTAGAGAGAGGGATAGAGAGATAGAGAACATCAATGAGAGAAACATTGATCAGCTGCCTCCTGCACGCCCCCTACTGGGGATTGAGCTCATAACCCGGGCATGTGCCCTGACCGAGAATCGGACTGTGACCTTCTGGTTCATGGGCCAGTGCTTAACCACTGAGCCACATCGCCTGGGCTCTGCTTCCTTCTTGTCCCCATGAAGCCCTGTGACTCCCACCTTTTAAGGCCCAACCCCAGTAGCACCCCATCATAGAACTTCTCTGTGGCCTTGCTAGCCTAGAATGTTGTTCCCTCTACCCAATTACAGCTCCTGTTTGTGCTGCTTCCCTAGATGTTTCTTGAAATAGAGGTTGGGATTTTGGGGACCGTCTATGATGAGGACTTTCAGAGGCTGAGGATAACCAGAAGCAGGAAGAAGTGATCATAAACTCCAATTTGCCCTCTAAAGAAAGGCCTCCTCTGCTTCTGAAGGTGACAGCAGAGGCCTGGCCTCCAGGTCTTTGTTGTGGATGTTTTTGCCTCCCTATTCCCAGGGGAAGGGGGAGGAAGATGGGAAGGGGACACCAAGGAAGCCTGTGGTGCCTAATGAGGTCTGTAGCAGTATCCTGAGGTGTTAATTAGATTCCACATATGAATGAGATCGTGTGATACTTGTCTTTCTCTGACTGGCTTATTTTGCTTAGCAAAATACTCTCCAGGTCCCTCCATGCTGTCTCAAAGTCAAGTCTTTTAATATATAGGTTCTCTGTCTCTCTTAGTTTTTCTTTTATTTATTGAAGAAGCCTGGCTATTTAATCTGTAGATTTTCCCTCCATCTCAATTTTGCTGATTACCCCTGCTGTATAGTTTAATAGGTTCTCCTGTCCCTTGTTTTTCCTGTAAATTGGTGGTTAGATACAGAGGCTTGATTATATTTAATTAAAAATTTTTTTTAATGTAGCATTTTTTAAAAAATATATTTTAAAAAATATATTTTTTTACAGAGAGGAAGGGAGAGAGATAGAGAGTTAGAAACATCGATGAGAGAGGAACATCGATCAGCCGCCTCCTGCACATCCCCTACTGGGGATGTGCCCACAACCCAGGTACATGCCCTTGACCGGAATCGAACCCGGGACCTTTCAGTCCGCAGGCTGACGCTCTGTCCACTGAGCCAAACCGGTTTCGGCTAATGTAGCATTTTTTTAACATAAATCAGGGAAAGCGCTTCTTTTTAAAAAAATATTTTTTTTATTTTTATTGATTTCAGAGAGGAAGGGAAAGGGAGAGATAGAAACATCAATGATGAGAGTGATTCATTGATTGGCTGCTTCCTGCATGCCGAGCCCGCAGCCCGGGCAAGTGCCTTTGACTGGAATCAAACCAGGGACCAGTCATTGTGCAGGCCGTCGCTCTGGCCACTGAGCCAAACCAGGCAGGGCAATATATTTGATTTTTATTATTTTATTTTATTTTTTAAAATATATTTTATTGATTTTTTACAGAGAGGAAGGGAGAGGGATAGAGAGTTAGAAACATCGATGAGAGAGAAACATCAATCAGCTGCCTCCTGCACACCTCCTACTGGGGATGTGCCCGCAACCAAGGTACATGCCCTTGACTGGAATCGAACCTGGGACCCTTGAGTCTGCAGGCCGACGCTCTATCCACTGAGCCAAACCGGTCAGGGCAATATATTTGATTTTTAAAAAGAATATTTAAGAAGTAATATTTGTACTTCCATTGGGAGGCACACGATACCTAGTTGTTTCTCTTTTTGTGACATAAGGAATCATTGATATTTATCGCCTAGAATAATTATTTCAGTAGGGCTTGCAAAATGGTGATATTCTGTGTTTCCTTCTGCAATTGCCAGTTTGAATACTTTTATACCTGGAAACTTACCGTAATCAACTACGTGGTTACTCTGAAAGTCAGTCTAGTTAGGAGAGGCAGGATAAATGCTTGATTGTTTCTCATATTTACCAGCTTTCAAAATAATGAGTTGGTTTTCTAACATTCTCCAAAGATGCTTATGAGGTTTATTTGTTCTCCTTTTTGTTTTAGTATCATAACACAGTATGGATGTTAATCTATTTGTTGTGGTGTTCAAATTGTCCCTTGGCCATGGGAGCTTATTCAGTAGCCTGCCAAGTCTTTTGGATACAACCTTGTAGACCAAGCATGTCAAACTCGGGGCCTGCCAGCCGCGAGTTTGACATGCTTGTTGTAGACTTTGAGAGTTTCCCTATTTCTGGATGACAATATGTTCTAATCTTATTTTGTACATTTCCTGAACCAGACCTAGAGTCGTCATTTCTCTTAGGGGGCCTGGCTCTTTTTATTGAAAACTGATATGTAAAGACCATAATCTGAGTCCACAGGGTTCTCACTGCTACTGGGTTGGTCATTATTTCTAGGATTTTTCTATGGATTAGCTCTTTTATTACTCAGAACTGTGGACATACAGAAAAGCATACAGCTTGCTGGATTATGCAGCCACAACTCAGGTGATGGTTCCAGATTTGGAGTGGAGGCACTGCCTGACACTTGGGCCAGTCGGGACCTCTCCTTCCTGTTCTCAAGAAACATGACTAACATTCAGGAAGGGGAGAGCCCGTGAGTTAGTCAGTTGGGGAGCTTTGTTGAAGAGCTCCCACGTGTGACATGCTGGCTGTCTTTCAGAACACTTTATCCCTCTCCGTCCCGAGTCATTTGTTTTCTATTCATTGCACCACCTCCTTCTGCATTTCAACATTATTTCACAAGAGACAGTCTCATATGGGAAGAAGAAAGCGAGACTCCAAGCTGGGCGCGCCCAGTCACCAGTCACATGAAAC